GTTGCATTCTTTTCCAGAACATTGTCCAAGCCAGAGAGGACCTATAGTCAGCTGGACAAAGAAGCCCTCGCCATCGTTTCAGCAGTAAAGAGATTCCACGAATACATTTATGGTAGGACATTTTCCATTATCACAGACCATAAGCCCCTACTCGGCATATTAGCGGGTGACAAACCCACTCCACACATCTTGTCACCTAGAATGACAAGATGGTCTGAATTTCTTGCTGCAAATTGATACATCGCCCTGGCAAGACAATCTCGCACGCCAACGCCTTAAGCCGCTCCCCCTTGCCAGACTTGCAAGAGGACCCAGCACCCACATTACCAGTCTTGCAAATTGAAACGATCCCCATGCCACCAGTAACCGCGCAAGACATCGCCCACGAAACTAGGAAGGACAGACGCTTAGCGCACGTTCTCAGCTGGGTGGAGAGGGGATGGCCAGAAACCGAGCCAAACGAACTTTTTAAACCGTTTAAAAACCAGCAAACTGAACTCTTTTCTCAAAGAGGTTGCGTGTTGTGGGGAGACCGGGTAGTAATACCAGAGACACTACAGAAAAAAGTTTTAGAATTGCTGCATGATGGGCACCCTGGTATTGTGTGCATGAAAGCCCTGGCCAGAAGCTACGCTTGGTGGCCAGGCATGGACAAGCAAATTGAAACCTGGGTCGCCGCTTGTAACAGATGCCAAGAGACTCGCTCGGCTCCCCCTAAGGCCCCACCATTAGAATGGGAAACACCCAGAGGCCCATGGTCGCGCATCCATATTGATTTCGCAGGGCCGACCAAGGGGCACACCTTCTTAATCACTGTTGATGCGTATTCTAATTGGCTCGAGGTGAGCACAATGAAGACAACCACCACGGAAGCTGTCATCAAGAAATTAAATAGACTCTTCAACACGCATGGTCTGCCAGATGTTATCGTTTCTGACAATGGGCCACAATTTACCGCCTTGGCTTTTGAACAATACTTGGCAGACCGCGGTATCCGACACGTATTGACATCGCCAGCTCACCCAGCAGCGAATGGTAGAGCTGAACGCATGGTTCAATTTACAAAAAAAACTCTGCACAAAATGGAACATGGCAACATCCACGAGAAGATCACCAGGATGCTTCTTCTACAACATATCACACCAAATACCACCACCAAGAGCCCAGCGGAGCTGCTAATGGGAAAAAGACTCAGGTCACCTCTAGACCGCCTCCACCCTGCTTACACTCCAGAAAAACCCCTGGGTTCCAGCAGCCAGCACCGTGCCTTCAAGGTAGGAGACTCATATTTGCCAAAAACTTTACAGGGGACCCACTTTGGATCCCTGCAAAAATCACCCAAGTCACAGGACCCCGCTCCTACCGGCTCGAGACCACCGATGGGAGGTCATGGAAATGTCATATTGACCAGCTAAGATCCAGGCTGGCCACTTCACCCCTCATAGACCCTAACCAAGAAATCAGAGGGGGGGGGGAAACCTCAAGTTCAGAAAATGAACGAACACCTGCACAAGTAGAACACCCCCCACAGACATTAAATAAAAACCAACAATACTTACCGGCCAGAAGGGAGTCGTGGCAGACGGGCACTTCGCCTGGAAGCAGCAGCCAGACAAGCTCCACCGGCCCAGAGAGCCCAGGTGGGAGCAGCGGAGCAGGCGACTCAACCGACCCGGAATCACCAGGCGGGAGTCGCAGCCACAGGACCGGCTCACCCTTCCAGGCAGTTCCATCTTGCAGCTTGAGAGCGATGCAGAGCCCGTCTGAACCCGATGGTGAGCAGAGACATTGTGAACTTCGCAAGTCTAGTAGGCAGGTACGAAGACCCGCCTACTTGCGTGATTACGTTACCCCGCCCCTTGGATGGAACCAAGAGGGGAGGGGTGTTCCATACTAGCAGGCTTGTAGGCCTGCATTCCTATTGGTCCGGAAAAGCCGGGCCGTGATTGGACAAAACTAAGCGTTCTGATTGGTTCTTATTCGGCTGCCGCGATTGGGTAAAACCAAGCGCGGCAAGCTCAAATGCATGTCATAGGCTGCCTAGCCGCAGCCAGCTCTATAAAAGGAGCTGCCTCGGCTGGGGGAATTTGTCTCATTATCTGGTTTCCTAATAAAGAGCTGTTGTCACTACTTCGAGTCTCGTCTCTTCTTGGGACCCACCACCCAGACTTAACACTTTGCACCACCAGGATTCTCTTGTCCTTGAAGAAAGAGTTTCTCAAATGTTCTCAAATGTGTGCAATTAATTAATCTGGGCTGCACAGTTCTCACGCCTTCTGCTTCTTCAAGGGACCCCAGAGTCAGGTCCCTGAGATTCATGCACCAACCAGCTCCCACACACAAAGGCAGTGGCAACAACAACAGTCCCCTTCCCCCTGTGTCCACTGTCAGCTCTCCCCATTAATTCTCCAGCTTTGGATTGCTCCCCCCCCCCCCCCCCCCCCACTCCCATCTGGAAGCAGGCAAGAAAAGGGAAATGGAGCCATGCACAGCTCTCTGCTTCTCTAGCCCTCACTGCCTCTCCCAACATTGAAGCCTCAGAGACACAGGAAAAGCTGCCGCAGCGGTAGCACCCAAATTTCCTTAGCATGCTTGTTTAGTTCATAATCACCCTACCCGAAGAAGGAGGTGCTGCAAGAGAAGGTGGCAATAGTGGAGAAGCAAGTCAGGTGTTAAAGACCTCGAAAGAAAGGCAGCAGCTGCTGCTCGTGTTTCTGCTGGATGGCTGCAGCAAGTACCCATTGCCACCAGTGCTGAGATGCGAGCATGCTAATGCAACTTGGGCGCTACCGCTATGGTGGCTTTGCCTGCATTTCCAAGGCTTTGATGTTGGGAGAGGCAGTGAGAGCCGGAATCATATTGTAAAGTATTGCAGATGACATGACTGTGGTGGGTCTTATGTGAGGCAACAATTAAGATACTTATAGGGAAGATGTGAAGGCTCTGGTGGACTGGTGCAGTAAAAATAACCTGGTTCTAAATGTTAATAAAACAAAGGAGATCATTGTAGATTTTAGAAAGAGCCGTCATAGTCATACTCCACTCATTATCAAGGATGCAGCTGTAGAGGTGGTCAACAGTACTAAGTATCTGGGTGTGCAGATAATTAACAATCTGAATTGGTGTCCCCATACATCATCCTTAGTGAAGCATGCAAACCAACGTCTGCATTTCCTGCATCGGATAAGGAGAACACATCTTTCTCCTTCTGCCCTGGCCACTTTTTACAGAGACACGATTGAGAGCGTTTTAACAAACAGCATCACTTTTTGGCTTGGTGGTAGCAGTGACTGAGATAGAAGGTCCGTACAAACAGTGACAACGACAGCCAAGAAGATTATAGAAAACTCACTTGCTGTTATTCAGGGTATGTGCTTGGAGCATGAAGCATTGTTAGAGACCCCACACACCCACTTTACGGTCTATTTCTTTTTTCTTTTTAAAGTTTTTTAGAATTTTTATTTTTACTTGAACGTATCATCTTCCATTAAACAGTGTGTCGTCTGAGTACAAATGTCTCTGTGCTATTATAATCAAAATTTACAATATTTGTTACATTGATAGTAATTCTCTAATCTTACAATAATAATAATCAGCATTATGATGCTATTCATTTCTCACTCTTAATATGTCTTCTGATGAAAATGTATTATATTAGGTATAATAATCTTAACAATCATAGTAATAATAATCATCATATTATTTACATCTCTATCTTAACACATATTCTTTATTTTACTAATCTCCATTTATTTCTCACCTCTGTTTTTATTCTCCAACCATCCATAAAATAGCTCCCATGTCACATAATATTGTTTGTTCTTTCTCCTTTACAGCAAGCATTAGGCTATTCATTTCTGCACATTCTAGTATTTTCCTAATTATATTCTCATCCATTGGGATCTCATCACTTTTCCCAATTTTGTGCAAATACAATTCTAGCTGCAGTTAATACATGTATAATTAAATATGCATTTCCTTTACTGTAAGTTTCAGCACCTTTCCCAACAAAAATATTTCTGGTTTTAAATCAATATGCTGTATTATGATCTTTTCCAACCACATTTGTATTTTTGTCCAATATTTTTTTTGTCTCTGCACATGTCTGCACATACAGCTTTTTCATCAGTATTTGTTCTGTCCCTGTTAATATCTTATCTAATTCTGTTGTTTATTTATAGAAACCATATAGTTTAGCATCTTTCTTATATCTAGAATGTATCTGCACCTGTGAATACCATATCATGTTAATCCTTTGAGCACTCAATTCTTGTTTAGTTTTCAATTCCTCCTTTTCATTCAATACGTCTTTAAATCTAACAATATTTCCCATGTTAATAACATTTGGGTGAACCAGTGCTTCCATTGTTGAAAGCCAAACTGGTATCTTCAAATAACATTGTTCTCTAGTTTTCTCCTATACTAACAATAACGCATTCCTTATCTTGTAACTTTACAGTCTATTTCTGTTGCTCCCCTCTAGGAGGAGGTTTCCAAGTATTTCTAGCAGGACTACCAGATTCTGTAACAGCTTTGTTCTCTATGCCATCTGTCTGGTAAACTCACAATATTTGTTTTTCTCGCCATGTACATGTATACATCTGGACTAGACTGTATTGTTTCTCTGTGTCCTATAATAATATATGTGGGTATGTGGGTATATGCATATTTATTTATTTATTTGTCATGTTTATGTAGTGTATATTGGAGCTGGTGACACTTTGAGAGCTGCATACAATGAAATTTCATTTTAATGTATGCCGATTAGTGTACATTTAAAGTGATAATAAAGTTATTCTAAGTCTAAGTCATTTAAAAATTTCATGGGTTAATAATAGGTGTGCAAACTCAAGTTGCTATCCAATACTAGGACTTAAGAGTTGGACTTGATTTGTAAGCTGATGAATTAGACCCTGATCTGTTGCTGTCAGATGTGAAAAAGAAAATAGAAATTTAGGAAAAAATATTACTTGAGACAATTATTTATTTCTGTTGCTAAGTTAAATGTCACGTTTGATGGCTCTTAGATAACGATGCTTTCCGTTCTTCCTAAGGTCCATAAACAAGGTCTCTAAGTTTATATCTTCAGGATCTAAAATAAGTTCAAAAGTGAAATGCTGGAGCAAAATGGTAAGGAGCAGGAAGATTTCCATATCAGCCATTCCCTCTCCTGGACATGATCTCTTCCCTATGAAAAGAACAAAAAAGACAATTAATTAGCCACTTATTGAGATGAGTAGCTATAAAAATCAAATAAAAACATACATACATACCAAATATCTTTATGGGACACAGAAAGTAGTCATCATCTCAGATTAGCAGTGGAAAGTGAAAAACAATATTTCAGAAAGAACACCTTATGGCTTGGAAAATACCTGGATCTTTTGAAATGACCAGTCATTTAATGTGCACTTTCTTGAAGCAAAGAGGCCACATGATGTGTTTTGATGAATTTTCTTCTTTTTCTGCCTATCACTTGCTCTGTAAAGCTGCATCTAAGCAGAATCCCCTGGCTTTTTAAGGGCTTGCTTACAAAGTTGGTGAATGAATGGCATATATTCCCATAGCACTTCCCAAAGATTTTGGAAAGCTGTGTCAGAGGAAACTGAGCATATATTTTTCAGGAACCGCTGGAGAAGTTATAACAGAGGAGAGATTGTGAATTAAAATAAGGCCCAGTCAAGGAACATTATGTTAAGGTGAAGTAAGAGGGCCATGGGGCTTCATGAAATGGTTTTGAGGGAGAACCATTAAAACCACTTTGATGACTGGCAATGAGAAATGCTTAAGAAAACTGTTCTTGAGGTTTAACCCAGAGAGCACAAAATCTACTCTGCTGTTTAGTTTTTTTTTTTAAAAAAGCTAAGATTCTGTCAATAGACAATGCCAACCCAAGTAACTAGAGATGACACTGTAGCAGTAACAGATTTTATCTCTCTGTTTCAAAACTTAATAAGAATAGTGATTGTAATCATGAAATAAAGAGATGTTAACTACCTAGGAAAAAGATATTGACATATACTTTAATGTCTTTGGAGTACCTTACTAAATAGGATTTCAGTTTCTTTAAGACCAAACCAGATAGGAACCAGGGAACCATAATCAGATCTCCTGCATCTTTCTAGGATCATAAAATCAGCTACCAGAGGGAAGGGCTTGCTATATATTTGGATCACACACCACTAGGGACATAACATTAACCCTTCCTTCCAATTTCTCCACCATCAGGGTAACTGAGGAGCCTCTCCTACCTGCTTCCAGCTTCTTCCACTCATGGGGCAATAGAAAGTAGGGAGAGGTAACTGGATCCAGAACACAGTAAAAAGGATTAAGCTCCCTCCAGTTCTTTGCTTTTGGCATGGTCCATATTTATTTCCTCCCTCATATTACGACTAGTAGCTTTTCCAGGAAAGAAACCAGTGGTGAGATTCAAATTGTTTTACCACCAGTTTGGTGGGCGTGGCTTGGTGGGCATGCTTTACCTAACGCACACACACAGCTTTCCCTACACCAGCTGAGGCCTGCAGCACCAATCAGCTGAGAGGATAAAGAAGAGAAAAGCAGAGGGGTGGGTGGGAGAGTTGATCCTGCGCTTTTCTCTTCTTTCTCCTCTCAGCTAATTGTGGAGGCTTTTTTTTCCTCATCTCAGTTGATCGCTGGAGTCGAACTGGTCCAAACCGGTAGCATACCAACACTGAAATAAACCCTCCTTTTGTAAAGGAATTGATTAGCAGCCATCATGTCTCTTCTGGTTCCAAGAGACTAAACATTCTCCTTCATGATTTAATCAGATTCTCTCAATGAATTCATCATTTACTCATGCATGCTTCTGACACACTGATCTTGAAACTAATATAGATAGAGGCAAGGACAGGCAGAACACAGCACCCATCGGGTGAAGTGACAGTTCAGTGGGCAATTGAACAACCTTGAAGATCCCAGTTCGCTAAATCAATAATAGCCCTTCTCTTACCTGCAGAGAAAGGCAAGTAGGCATTGTTCTTTTGGAATTCACCCTTCTCATTCAAGAAATGACCTGGATCAAACTTCTCAGGATCTTCCCAGCAGAGAGGATCAAAATGCATTGAAACCCACAATGGAAGAACAATTGTGCCCTTTATGGAGACAATAAGATACAGAGAGCACAGATGGATTTTTCCCATAAAGGATCAGACTGTTCTTAATTTTTTCAAAAATGAGTCTCTATGAAAAGTATAAAAAGTAATATTGATGCAATTTACAATATGTCACTATACAATGTGTTTAACTAATGCATATTCACATATTTAAAGACCTTACAGAAAATTATGAACATAACAAGACTGATTTGTCTACTATGTCTTGCCACTGTAAACTGCATTAATCACATATTAAATTTTACAACTTTTGAATGACAAGTGAAGTTCAAGTTTCTAAATTGTGAGGCTGCACTGCCATTGCCTATGTTAACAAAACAAATCTAATCATAAAAATTGGAGTGATGTTATTAAGAAATGTTTAAAAACTTTAAAGTTATCTAGTCAACACATTATTTCTATTCTTCATGTTTAAAATAGTTTATTTTGAATTAGTTTAGAAATGCCCCCTACTTTTGTTATTATTGTGCTGCCTTGGCACATCAGCATCATTTTTATTTTGTCTGACACATTTATATATGATTATTTTTATCCAGAATGAGGTTGGAGGATTAAAATATCCCAAACCAATACAGATGGCTTGGACAGAGACAATACTTAGCTCACTACAGTTGCTCACCGATAATGTTATACTTGGCCTTCACAATTTTCTGGCAGACCTTCATTTCAGCTTGGATTTTTTCTTGCAGACATTTCATTACCAGATTAATAATTTTATCATTGCTCTGAAGTGGGAAAATTAAGCTGGTTTTACAGCCTTCTCTGAATTTGGGGAGATTTTTTTCCCCTTGACTGTTCCTGCTTATTTGAGTGTTAGTTAAGGGATATTTAATAGAATGTGCTCGAGGCTATTGCCTTTTGCTTTGGCCTTTGATTGTTCCTTTTTGTATGACATATAAATTAGGTTTATTACTATATGTCCGTTTGTGGCTAATTTTTCAGAGTTACAAAGTTCTAGAAATTCTGTTGCATTTTGAGCCTGCTCTTGATTATAGCATTTTGGACCAGTGCCCAAAACCACTAGTCTAAAGAGCCACAATGGTGCAGTGGTTAAAATCAGTGGTGGGATTCAAAAATTTTTACTCCAGCTCTGTGGGTGTGGCTTAGTGGGCATGGCAGGGGAAGGATACTGTAAAATCTCCATTCCCTTCCCACCCCACTAACCTGCTTTCCAGCTTCGTTCTCCTGTGCAGGGCAACAAAAGAAGACCCAGATGATCAGCTAGGACTCAGGAGGCAGAGAATAGATAGGGGCAGGGCCACTCAGAGGTGGTATTTGCCGGTTCTTTGAACTACTCAAAATTTCCAGTATTGGCTCTTCAGAACTGGTCAGAACCTGCTGAATACCACCTCTGGTTAGAATTCAGTATTGCAGGCTAATGCTGCTGACTGCCAGCACTTCGATTCTCACTGGCTGAAGGTTGACTCAGCCTTCCATTCTTCTGAGGTCAGTAAAATGAAGAGCCAGATTGTTGGAGGCAATGTGCTGACATAATGACTTAATGACAATGTGCATAAGTGCAAAGGGGCATACATAAGTGCATCATCGTGCCTACCGTCCCTGTCCTATTGTCCCCATTTATTCGTACCTATTTCCTGTATGCTTACTCATGTTTATACTTATATCTATTATATTGTAAGCAATTGACAAATCAAATAAATAAATAAATAAATTTGTAATCACTCAGATAGAGGTGTAAAGCACTATGAAGTGGTATATGTGAAGTTTACTTGCTATTGCTAAACGTCAAATGATGTTCAGAAAATATACACAGATTGTACAGCAACTACATATACATATCTGCATGCAAAAATTTTTCCCAGACTTTGTCTGATTTTTCACACCTGAGGAATGAAGTGTCCCCTGAAATTCACATCCTGGGTTGTCATACGTGGGAAGGTCTCATTGGCCCCTTGCTGAAAACGTATAATCTCATGAAGAACTGCACTGGTATAGGACAGCTTCATCCTATCCTCCATGCAGAGGGCACGGTTTGCTCCCACAAGCTCATCAATTTCCTGCTGGGCTTTTGCTAGAGTGAACCATATTTTGTTAAAGCAAATATTACTTTTTAAAACTATTCCAAAAAGCACTGATCTGTAGATATGGATCATCAAAGATACACTCTAATTTCCTACTTCCCAATTTCACAGCTCTTTGGGCTCATTCACATAGCCGCCCAACAGGCTGAAGAACAGTTTCTACCCATGGGCTATCAGACTCCTGAATGGAAAATAACTTCATGTCAACATAGTATGACAGACTTGCAGGGCTGGCACATTGTGCAACAAGGTCACATGATGCAATAAGATTGGGATTGGGTTAGAGACTTCTGTCTTCACTGTGAGTTGTGTTGGAGGAGGTGCACGAAGGGAAGCTCAGCTAATCTTATTGTACACATGTTGTACTCTAACAATAAAAGGCTGATAGTTGATTTCCTCCCATCCTGGTTGGGAAGAAAGCAAATCAACATAAAACACACTTCTCAGCTTGTGCCCTTGGGGATGGATAATGAAAAGGATAATGAAACAGGGCCATCCAGTGCCATTGTCATTCTGCATAAGAATCGGTGGCAGATTTTATCAAATTCTACATCCAGTCAGCAAAAATTTCTAGTCATTTCCCTTACCATGTTTACCGGACATGGTAAGGGAAGCGACTAGAAATTTTCTCTGGCTGGATGTAGAATTTGGTAAAATCTGCCACTGATTCCTATGCAGAATGTGGGCCATTGTGATGGGAGCTCTGAAGTTTCAGGCATTCCATCCAATCATTTATACACTCTACTATCTTCCCCAGCCACTTAGGTGACAATTACCTACTGGCCACTAAATGGCAGCAAATTCTTCATCTTTTTAATTGCAAGATAGCGGCCATCCAGATTTATGCAATGCAAATGCACATGCCTGTACAAATATTCTTGAGTTCAAGAAAAGTATTTCAGTGCACGAGAGCGACTTGCTTTCTGTTACACCTACACAGGTTTTCCAAATGACAGCATCTATATAGGGTAGGAGCTCTATATAGGGTAGGGGAAGGAAAATCTGGCTGTATTTTTAAGTTTTATCTCTATCAGATTTTCCAATGAAATTACAAAGGGACAAACTGGGGAGTTAGAGCTTCTCCAAGAGCAGTGATGATCACTGGGAAGGAGCTAGGACAATAGGAAATTTGAGGAGTGATTAGTTGTCAAGTAACACTTGTTCAGCACCATTGTAACTTTGAACAATCACTGAACAAATGGTCATTATAGACTAATGGTATTTGGAATGCATTTTCAAACATTGTTAAAATTATACCAACTACCAGTATATACAGTTTTATCACAACCTGCTGGGCTGGAAACTATTAGTGCATCCTTGTGATCTACAAATAGAGAAATTTTAGTCACAATAGTTCACATGCCTGACTTTGGAGATCTCTTAAATTCTGTCCTTCATTATAAGCTGATTCTTGTTCTATGTTCTAAGCAGGGGTGGGATTCTACCAGTTCACACCTATTCGCTAGAACCGGTTGTTAAAAATCTAAGCAGTTCGGAGAACCGGTTATTAGAAGAAATTACTGGCCTAATCCTGTAAGCAAGGCAGGAAGGAAACATTCTGATGTTGCTTACAGAAACTGCCTCTCCGTTAACCCTTATTACAATCTTGGCAGGACTTGACTTCCTGTCTCAGGAACGTTTCTGGAGTTATTGTTTTTCCTCCTTTGCTGGTACTTTGCTTGTGTGGAGTGACCATTCAAAGTTACAATGGCACTGAAAAAAGTGACTTATGACCATTTTTCACACTTACGACTGTTGCAGCATCCCCACAATCATGAGAGGCCAGGGGAGGAGATGCATGCCTCGATGTGAGTGATATTGAGTTGGCTACGCCCAACCATCAAGCCATGTCCACCCAGTCACATGACCACCAAGCCACGCCTATGCCACACCCACAGAACCGGTTGTTAAAAATTTGAATCCCACCCCTGGTTCTAAGTGTGACCTACAAGTCTATGTAAATCACCAAGCATACATATTTAGAAAAATGTAACATTTATTTTAGGCCTTTATTATTTGAGGTCTTCTTTAAGGAGACCAATTTGGAAGATGTGGTCATTAACAGATTATTACTTCAAATATTTGCAAATGTCATGGAAAAAAAATGGCAGGAAGATGCCAACTTGCATTTGCAATTCATTTCAGAATGCATACTTGAAGGAGAAAATATTAACCAAAGTAACCACTCCATATACCTTGAACATGTGGGAACCTAGCCAGAAGGATAAGGCCATATGAGATGGCACTGGTTGTGCTCTCAGTCCCAGCAAGGAAGAGCTGAAACACAGACATGACCAAGTCTTCAATACAGAGAAGAGAGGAACCTTGTTCCTGTAAAGGAAGGCAGAAATAGGATAAAGAAGCAGAAGTTTGTAATGTGTAACCTCATCATCATGTCATCAAGTTGTCCACCTACTTCTCACTTTACTTCTCTTCTAGACCAACTTATAGGGTAGGCAGGGAATAATCTAAGACAGAATCCTCCACATTCTTTTTCTTAATTTGAATATCCAATGAAACTTAATAGGTGTTTGGGTCAGAGGGATTGATGTTTGAATGAAAAAGAAACAGCTGAAATCCAAGTTTTCTGTTCTGTATCAGCCATACTTCCCCAGAATCCTTATTATCTGTTGTTATTAGTATTTGTTATTAATTTTAATGTTTTAACTTTCAATGCCCAATGCTCTAATGTTTTAACTTTTTAATTGCTACAATAATACAAATAGCTCACCCCTATGGACATAATCAGAAAGTGGGGCACACATGCACAACTGAAACCTTTTGTGCTTGTAGGAAAAATGTCTTTGCAATGTACCTTTTTTAATTTAAGAAGGAAGCAATCAATAAAGTCTCTAGGATTTTCTGAATCCAGGGTCTTCTTGTGAGCATCCATATTATTCCTAATGAAATTGAAGGTCTTATTACAGTCAGAGAAGACTTTCTTATGAGGTCCAGGAAGGAAGTTCATGATATTTGGCAAAGCACTGTATATCTAAAACATGGTGATAGTAGGTTAGCCAATGTCTATTCATCTCATGCTCACAGTTGCACAGAAAAATTGGTTCCTCAATAACAGGGGTCCCCAATCCCCAGTCTGCAGCCTGTTGGGAACTGGGCAATTCAAGCAGCAGGTGAGCACACCAAACTCCATTTGCACAAGTGGTAGGCACATGCATGAAACCATCCCCTCCACCCTCACTCCCCGCTGGTGCTGCCCATCCAAAGAACTGGGTTTTGGACCACTACTTTATTAAATACCCTATTAAGTTAGGATCTATGAATTTATATGATATAAAAATTATCATAATACTATGTCTGACATAATAAAACATTCCCTATACTGATGTTTGACTGTGCTCTCCAGTTCAACATGGGCTGTTTTGAAAGCAGATACATCTCTGGATATTTCTCTGAATTTTTAAGAATGTTTCAAGTGAAAGTAGTACATTAGAAGCTCTGCCATTCTTGAAGACATTGAGGAATCTGGCCAGGGAATTATTGGTCTCCCAGCAAAGTTCTACAAGTCAGCCAAGGAGAAGGAGGTTTTATAGCAACATATAAACTAATCAGGAGCAAAAGGAACACTTGAACACAATGTGATTGCACAATATGTAAATTTGTAATTTTTAATTTGTAAAACACACATTTTAATGGGCCACTTTAAAAAGCCTCTTATTTTTGTAGGTCAAGGGGAACTAATGGAACTCTCTTTTAAGTAAAGAAAAAATCCTGCTTTCAGAAGCACATAAAGTTGACATACCACTCCAGGAATGCTCAGAAAGAAACTTGTGAATGCCTTCACAATTTCCAATAGCTCAATGAAGTTTTTATCTTCATAAGAGTATCGATTTCCAAAGATAACAGAACACATCACATTACCAACAGCAGCTGTGATGACTGGGATTATGTCAAAGGACTGACCTGCAGCAGTAAGAGAAAGGGAAGGGGAGAAGAGAGGATTGGGTGACCACATTTTGCATCTCCAAACTTTTTTCCTGAGGTACTTTGTGAATATTAGTTTTACTATATTATATCTGACTGAGAATCTTGATCGACATATTACAATGCACTTTGGAGAGAAAATCCCTGAGGTTGGTATAGCAGTGGTTGGTACATTCCAATGACTCTCTGCCTAACTGGCTTGCTCTAGTCAGATGCTTGGATGGCAGCAAACTAAGAACAAAAAATAGTCCAGTTGCAATGACTCAACCTTCAGATAAATCTACCTGGATCACTGAGAATCTTCATTGATACATTTTATTTGGAATTTGTACACATGTGGAATCTTTGTGGTTCTATTGACAACTGCCTGAAAAATTTTCCACTGTATAGCTTGATTCCCAGTAGATCATGTCATAGTCCTAATCCATGTCTCTGTGATAGATAATGAAAGTGCAGATGGGCCATTTTTCAGGAACTCCTCAACCTAGTGAACAGACTCTGGGAGTTGGCATTCAAGAAACAGCATATGCCATCCAGGTAAGATTCAGGTCATTTTTTAAATTAAGATCAGCTATCTTCACTAGTATAACCAAAAGGTAGAGTATTAATTCAATTCTGAACTGAAAAATAAATAAATACACCATCTCACAGTTTTGTTGTTGTGAGGCAAATAAAGGGAAAAGCACTACCCTGTGTTGTACACATAGAGGTGGTACATAATTCTATAAATATATAAAAACCTTTAATGTATGATCACCTTCAAAGGTTGATATCCTCCCCACTAAACAGTGAGCTTCTTCCAATATCCGCTCAGCCATCGACCTCTTTCCCATTCCAAAGTTCCGTAGGGTGGAAATAGTAAAGCGACGCAGAGTCTTCCAATTCTCATGTTTGCCAATAACACCTGGAAGATTAGAAATTGGCAGTAACAGACAACAGGCACTGCAGTGTTTTAAAAAAAGATATTCATCTTCTATCAAAAACTAAAGCAGATTTGGGTATTTCACAATTTCTTCATGATAACTGGTGAACACTTCCCCAAATCTAATTTTGAACTGTGTTTAATTAAATCAGTCTGCATATGAATCTCACATCAATGAGTCTAATAAAATCATGTCTATGAAATTGCTTCTAAAGACAAATATGGATGCCATTATCTCAGGGATTTTAAAGTATTTTGCTAGATGTTTTTGTTGGTTTCTGACTGAACATTTTTCACTACTTAAATTTTAGATATGGCCCTGTTTTAATTAGTTCACCTTTACATTTAGCTAAAACAGGACTGAGGAGATGGCAGTTCTAAATCGGTTGTTTTTGAGGGAATATTGAACACAAGTATAATTTTCCTCAGGCCACTAACTGACCAGCATATTAGTTGGGCCATTGGGCCAATCTGCTGGATATGGAATAAGTGTCCTGCTTTTTCTTGTTTTGAGACTTTGTCCTCTCTCCAGAGTTTTGACTGAATAACTTTCCAAGCATCTCCAAGAGCTATTTTGTTTTTCATTGCTTAAGAATAATATTAGCCATCAACTGGAATTGTGAAATGGTGAAATGAATCACCATCTGGGAAAGTTAATATTTTTATCTTTCCCCTGGGAACTGAAAACTACATATCAAATCAAAGTGAAAATAATCTGTGCACTCACCATAGCCTTTGGTTACATGATCAAAGACAACTATAGGTGGTCGTCCACCAAATTCTTCATTATGAGTTACCAAGGCATCTTTCACTGCTTCGTATCCGCAAATCACAATCATCGGCTTTGCTCCTAACCAGATAGTAAAAACTGGACCATACTTCTTAGTGAGCTGAGGACAAAATCCGTCAAAATCCATTGATATCTGATTCAATTAACTGCCCACAAGTTCTGTTGATGACTTTAAAATTGTGATTGCTAATGTAAAAACTAAACAGACTTTTTCCCAAACTAACATAAATGATTTGAAAGTGCCATATTAATTTTCATGCCCATTGTTAATTTTTATGGCCATTAGTGTTAGAGAAATTATTTAGAATAACTTTTCCTGACCTGATGTCTTTCAACATCATTAACATTCTGTGTTAAATTTTATGGCCACAAGTGGTAGATAAATTCTTTAGTTCAGCTTTTCCCAGGCTAATGTCTTTCAATCTGATTTTTTTTTCATAAACATTTTATTTGGGTTTTCACAAAACATAATACAAGCAAAAATTTCTTTTTTTGAGAATAGCATGGTCCCAGTTTATCATTTCTCTATACAGACACAAACTCAATTTCATATTCATCTTTGTGTTCTATTCTATATCTTATCACTATTTTAACATTATCTCAATAATTTTTCCCTTGCCTTAGTTTTCTCAATCTTACTTATATATATATATGAATTTAGAAAGGAATGAGATAATTAAAAGTAAGATTGAGAAAGGGTGGGATCTATATCTATATATATATCTTTTTCTAAGTTTCAATACCTTTCTAGACATCATATTTATACTTTTGTCTGTCCTGTTTCAGTTTCTTTTGGGGGGGGGGGGTGTTTTTTCAGATCTTAAATTTTTCATTCTCTTTCCCCCCTTCCCTTTCTTTTGCCCTCATAGAAATACTTGGTCATTGAAGATGGCTTCTTGTTTGTCCCGCTCTTCTTGTTCTACAGGCATTTCTTGTTTCTCATAGTTCAGGATCTCCATTTCTAAAAATTGATATACGAAGCTGAAAGAACCTCTTCCTTCTTGTGCATCTTATTTCTGTTTTTAAAGTTCCATTCTCAATTCTTCCAAGAGTGATACCATTTTAAAAACTTTTAAACAACCGCCCAATTAATTTTAGTCCTTTAGATTCAATAGCCAAAAATCCAAAAATCACCAAGTAATCCAAATAAACCAAAGCTTCTTGCTTCCTTTTCCACTTTCTCTTCCTGGGGTTCTCTTGTTACCAAGTTTTAGTTAAAATGTATCTTTTAGGAATCTTGTTAAAGTTTCACTGTTAATTCCTTTCACTTCCAGGTGGTCTCCTCCATTTTTCCAGATCCCACCCTTTTGTTTTTTTCCTTCTTTTAAAAGTTTTTGAGAATCCAGAAATCTTTATTATATTTGACATTTTATTTTCAGCTTAATTACCTGTTAATGTCAACGTGGATTTTTGCCGGTTTCTTGCTTAAATCTCTTAGTTGTCAATACAGGGAAGAAAAGAAAAAAAAACCAAATCCTTTCCCTTCCCTCTCCCATTCACAACTTCAAAGTCTTCTTTGGGAACAATGTTGTTCTTTATAATTCAAATTCCAGGGTACCTTGTATTGTTGTTTTTCCAGTTCGATTCGGTCAGCCAAAACTTTCTCTTCTTATCTTCCTCCTGCACATTCTTTTCCGGTTGAGTTCTTCTTTGAAGTTGCCATTTCTGACCACCACTGTATTGGCCAGCTGGGGAGGAGAGGTGATGGTCTCCTCGACCCTGCTGACAGTCTCCCCCCTCTTCACCACCTCTATGGGGTGGCTTAGCCCTGAAACCAGCTGGCTCGGGGCGCTCCAGCGGTGAGCACAGATCGAAACTGCGCACGATCGCAGATTTTGATCTGTCACCGAAGAAGCTCAAACCAGAAGCCTTTCAATCTGAATTTTAATTTGCTTCTGGTGGCCAAGAATTACAGTAGCTGGTCCAAACTGCATGGTTCAAAAATAATGAAGAATAAAATGATTTTTAAAATCATGATAAAAGTGACTTTGCTTTTTCGTTAGAACTTTATTCTGATTTCTCCATTAAATGTCACAAGTTTAGCATTTGTATATAAGGCTACAGCATGTATTGCTTAATTATGGCTTATTTATGTATGCATTGAATTTAGATACCATCCAATTCCTAATAATAAATTCACATTTTGGGCATCAATGTCTTGGGCTGAAGAAGAAAGCCAGTCAATTTCCACAATATGATCTTGAACATATACCCATTTTCAAGGAGAACATTAGGAATTGCTTCTCACTGACACAGAACCAGAGGAATTATGGAATGAATTTAAAGGAATTATAAAGGTTGAATATGAAAAGAGAACACCATAAATTTAAAAAAAACAAACAAGAAAGCAAACAGGATGTCAAGCATAAGCAACTAGAACCACTTGTAGAGAGTCTCAACTAGGAGCTTTATTATTTGTTAGCTATGTTATAAGAATCTTGGAGGAGTGACTGCATTCCCACGAGAATGGTCAAATAAGACTTCAAAGATTCTTGGGAAAGTTAGGCCTGTGCTATTTGTGCCAAGATAGCTTGAATAAGTTACAACTGTCTAGGTTCAAGCAACTCACAAAGTCAGATCTACAGTTTTTAACCCATGCTATCTAGTTTCACCCTAAGCCACATACACAGCCATCTATAGACCAACCACATGATAGTGTATAGCACAATGTATGAACCCAATTTGTATGTGTTTTAAAAGAATATAAAGCCATTAATAAAAATCAGGTGTTCTATTTAATAGTTTCTGAGAATACTTCCCAGATTGTTAATTGATTTTGAGAATGGAACAAAAGACTGAAATATAGTCTAATCTGAATAATGCTTATGGCAAAGAATAGTTGCTATAAATTAACTATGAATATTATATTTATTTTGTCCTGTACAGCATTCTGTTATTCTTAATTATATCATTTACTCTCTGAGAAGATATGTTGTGGTTAAACCTGTAATAATAATTTTTAAAAAGCCAGACAGAATTGGAAGCACATTTAGTAGTGCTAGAAAGAACCCCAACTTTGAAATACCTGCTTTACATTATCCTCTCAAAATGTGGGAGACTGGTAATCTGCTAAATGATTCTTGAATCTCTCACCCACTAAGAAAGGGGTCATATCAAAGACTGTCTTACCTTTGCATAGGTTTTATATAGAGGCAGAACATCTTTTTGCAGTAGATTCCCCAGAAAGAGCCAGGGTGTAGGGCCAGGAGGGAGTTTGCTTCTTCTTTGGAGAAACCTGAAGGCCCAGAGTGTGAGCAGAAAGAGAACCAACAGTATTGCTGCCCCAGGCAGCAATTCCATCTGCATTTTTATTCTTCTGGCCTTGATGGAGTGGAAGTCTCTCTTTGAAGTTGGAAATGAGTCTGGGATACAAAGAGAATGACAGAAACAAAGTTAATGTAATTGCTTCTCTAACTTTCTCCTTTCCACTCTTCAATTTGTCCTTTCTCTTTTGTTGGTGTGCCTGCAGCTATCAGTTATTCCAGAACATAAAATGTTGTCTTTAAGTATTTGCTTTGGGAGCATGTTCTACATATTTGGAACAGCTGAAGGGGTATTCTGATAACATGCTTATAATTAAACAGAGGTTATTTAATTAATCCAATTTTCTGGATTGACATTGGTGTTTTCTGATTGTGGGTAGATTTATAATGTAAAATGCAGTTAGATGGCATTAGAGGAAGTATAAGGGAGATAGCATTGGAGAGTCATGTTCTGGGCAAGCAGCTGAACTTGATAGATTTCCACAATAAGAAAATTGTGATGACAAGATCACCTGTTGATAGGTCAACCAACAAAAGGAAATAGGTGAATGGATGGATTTGTTTTAATAAGCCCCCAATTAAGGTCACCTTCTGCTCTCATCATTTCAGGACCAGCTGGGCAGACAGAAGAGAAATAGGAGAAGGTACAGCACCTTGGTAGTTTCCAAACATTTGGACTTAAATTCTAAGACTGCACTGCAGCCATAGGAGACTGTGACAGATGCAGTCCAAAAATAGATTGCACGTTATGATTTGTTACCAAACCCTAATTGACTGAATTCAGGAATGAAAGACCACGGCCGATATTCCTATTTTATACAGAACTCAATAGTGTTTGCTGTTCTTTAGTGTGAGCTACATCTCAAGGCTGATATAATGATAATGCAGGGCAGGAGAAGACTGATTGTTTTAATTTTAATAAAACCCCAGAGCATTAATGGAAACAAGTTAAAAGGGATGGACAAAGTTCTGAAGGGATTTTCATTATTTTATTTTATTTTATTATTTGTCAAAAGCTTACAATATAACAGAAACAAGAATGAACATGTTTAAATACAAGAAATAGGAACTAATAATTGGGGACAATAGGGCAGGGATGGTAGGAAAACATCCCTATGAAGCTCCCTCCACCCCACCCCTTCTGAAAGTAAAGCCAGACCAGCATTGAGTTGTGTCTGGGGAGGTTCTGACTCATGAAGACAGTGATGGAAACAGTTTCGACACAAGCCTCTCCTGGCTATGGAAACTGCAGGATGAAGTTCCAGAAGCAACATGGAGTGCCTCGCTGAGGCAAATCATATCCTATCTTTTCTGTGACAATAAATTGTGTTGGTTTTCGTTTCTTGAAGCAAAAATCAGCTATGTCACATAAGTGTTTGTTTTTGCAAGTTGATAGGTCAGATAGGCAATAGCCACAGAGTTTGACTCAAGGGCAATACATCATATATTCACTTTAAAGTAACCCATGAACAATATAACAGTAGAAAAATATATTTATTTGGATATTAGTTTAGGTTTATCCATTCCTAATTAACAAGCCCTAGGCATATTTCTACAATTAGCACAACTGCAGCAAACCAATCAATCAACCAAAGCAATGCAATCTTTCCATTTAGTCTAAATTTCAACCTAAAGGTGTGCATGCATTTTTGGTAAACAACACAATTTTTCATTTACAATATGACATCTGAAAACTCAGTAACAATGACATCATTTGATCACAGTGCACATACCTTTCAGCAATCTATTTAAGGCTTATCCTCCACAGCAGTAGCCTCAAATAATTCCTCTTTGCATGAGCATTTGATTTTATATCTGCTGCTCTCCCTAATCCCCTCCTCTTCCATTTTATCTCAATCAGTAGCAGCAGGAGTAGAACTGGATTGGCTATTCAAATATCAGAAACAATGTAGCTCAAAACAGCCTCACTTTTAAATTGTGTTTTTCCCTGCCACACAAATGTAGATATATCCTTCTGCTACTGTTGAAATGATGCATCAGTTATCAAAACAGATATTGTTACAATGTTATATATGTGCAAAGAAAAGAGGAGATTTGGGTTTACCTGATTGTATTTTGCAGCTTGCTGGGTTTTTTAAGATAAATTTTATTAACTTTCTATTAATTACATTCCTTAGTGCTAAATAAAAATCTTGTTGTCTGGGTATTTAATTTGCTTAACAATACAGATGTCATTCTTACTCAACACCCCTTTTTTTCCAACCACTGGTAAAATAAATTCCAAGTTTGATTATATTCTGTGTGTTCTTACATTTTCAATGTAAGTCTGTCCATTTCTGCACAGTCTAATATCTTCTTAATTATCTCTTCATCTTGAGATGTTTCTTCATCTTTTCGATATTGTGTGAAGATAATACTTGCTGCTGTTAAAACATTTAGTACTAAATACATACCTCTCTTATCAATTTTTTTACATATGATATCATCCCTAATAAAAATAGTTCAGGTTCCGGTTTGAGCTTCTTTGGCAACAGACCAAAATCTGAGATCGTGCGCAGTTTCGATCTGTGCTCGCCACTGGAGTGCCCCAAGTGGCTGGTTTTGGGGCTAAGCCACTCCATAGAGGTAGTGAAGATGGGGGAGACTGTCAGCAGGGTCGAGGAGAGTCGCATCTCTCCTCCTTTTCCTGAAGGCAGTTGCAGTGGTGGTCAGAAATGGCCACTTCAAAGAACTTGACCGGAAAAGAATGTGCAGGAGGAAGATAAGAAGAGAAAGTTTTGGCTGACCAGGTTGAACTGGAAAAACAACAATACAAGGTACCCTGGAATTTGAATTATAAAGAACAACATTGTTCCCAAAGAAGACTTTGAAGCTGAAATGAGAGAGAGAAGGGAAAGGATTTGGTTTTTTTTCTTTTCTTCCCTATATTGACAACTAAGATATTTAAGCAAGAAACCGGCAAAAATCCACTTTGACATTAACAGCTATTTAAGCTGAAAATAAAATGTCAAAGGGATAATGAAAATTTCTGGATTCTCAAAAACTTTTAAAAGAAGGAAAAAAACAAAAGGGTGGGATCTGGAAAAATGGAGGAGACCCACCTGGAAGTGAAAAGAATTAACAGTGAAAGGAATTTAACAAGATTCCTAAAAGATACATTTTAACTGAAACTCTGTAACAAGATAAGAGACCCCCAGGAAGAGAAAGTGATAAAAAGAAGGAAGATGAAACAGCTTTGGATTATTTGGATTACTTGGTGATTTTTGGATTTTTGGCTCTTGGATCTAGAGGACTAAAATTAATTGGGTGGTTGTTTAAAAGTTTTTAAAATGGTATCACTCTTGGAAGAATTGAGAATGGAACTTTAAAAACAGAAAGAAGATGCACAAGAAGGAAGAGGTTCTTTCGGCTTCGTATATCAATTTTTAGAAATGGAGATCCTGAACTATGAGAAACAACAAGAAATGCCTGTAGAACAAGAAGGGCGGGACAAACAAGAAGCCATCTTCAATGACCAAGTGTTTCTATATGGGGAAAAGAAAGGGAAGGGGGGAAAGAGAGTGAAAAATTTAAGATCTGAAAAAACAACCCCCCCACCAAAAAAGAATAGTTTGAAAAGTAATTACAACATTAGGAAGAAACAGAAGAGAGGATTACAGAAGAGAGAATCAGAATTAAAGAAAGAAGGGGTCAAAAAGGGAAGGGAGAAGAAGAGGGGGAAGAGGGAAAGGAAAAGAAATTATAAAGGACAGAAACAGGACATAGAGAAACAGGAAAAACGTACAAGGATTAAGGGTATATGCCTATTTAGAAGACACAGAGATAATGGGTGAAAACTTAATTGAAAGGGGGATTCTGCAAGGGTACATAAGATAGAATTGTTATATTAGAAATAGAAATTAACTTTGAAAATATGAAACAAGTGTGATTAAAATGATAGATAAAATACTCATTGTGATGTAATGTTTAATAAATAAATGAAAGAAAGAGAATGAAAGAATGAAATTAGGAAAGGAGGGGAACATTTTAATTATTATAAATGTGTTATAAAAATTTAAGTGAAGAGGAACATGAAAGAAACATGAAAAATTATGGAAATATTATAAAATGTTCCTAGAAGTATGATACCCGATTGAAAAGAAATGTTAAAGATGTCAAAGATTATAACTAACATTAATGATAGAGCTGAATTGGAATAGAATAAGTATTTTATTCATTATTGTTATATATATATATATTTTCTCTTTAAGAACTTAGTGTGTATTTTAAGAATGTATCAAGCAGAATTCGGTTGGAAGTTATGTGTTATATTGAATGTTATAATTGTAAAAGCATAAATTGAAGTTTAAATAAGAGTTGAATTAAAAGATACAAAAATTAAAAGATACAAAGGTGTCATACTCTAATTAGTAACTACAGGGAAAAATTTTGCTTAATGAGAAAAGAAAATATGAAATTGAAACAGGACAGACAAAAGTATAAATATGATGACTACAAAGTATTGAAACTTAGAAAAAGATATATATAATTGAATTTAGAAAGGAATGAGATAATTAAAAGTAAGATTGAGAAAACTAAGGCAAGGGAAAAATTATTGAGAAAATGTTAAAATAGTGATAAGATATGGAATAGAACACATGTTCTATTCTATTTAACATTTAACAAATGTTAAAATAGTGATAAGATATGGAATATGAAATTGAATTTGTGTCTGTATGAAGAAGTGATAACCTGGGACCATGCTATTCTCAAAAAAAGAAATTTTACTGGTATTATGTTTTGTGAAAACCCAAATAAATTTTTTATTTAAAAAAATACTTCAGGTTTAACATCTGCATGTTTCCCTATTATTTTTTCTAGCCATCTGTGTATTTTTGTCCATTTTTTTTTGTTTTAGCACAAATCTACCACATATGATAAAATGTGCCCATCTTTTGATTACATTTCCAGCATTTGTTAGACATATTTTAAACATTTTAGCTAACCTCTCAGATGGTAAATGCCATCTATAAAACATTTTATATGAATTTTCTTTATAAGAAGTTGCCATTGTTAATCTATAGTTCCTTTCCTATA